CTATGGGGTCCGTTGTACCATCTACACAGACCACAAGAGCTTGAAGTATATCATGGATCAGCCGAACCTGAATATACGGCAACACAGGTGGCTGGATGTAGTCAAGGATTACGACTGTGAGATCCTTTACCATCTTCGTAAAGTGAATGTAGTTGCAGACGCCTTAAGCCTCAAGGCGGTCAGACCATCTGTCTCAGTATCATGCATGAGGATATCAGTGGATTCCACACTCGTGAGCTTGCTCCAAGGAGCACAGTCGGAGGGTATGCGTAGATAGAACTGGAAACTAGAGAGGATAAAGGGTGAAAACGCCCGATTTGATCAGGATAGTCGGGGATTGATGACCCGTTATGGTCGGGTATGGGTTCCGATGACTGGTGGAGTCAGTCATAATATATTGGAGGAGGCTCATAAGTCTCGGTTCTCCATTCACCCGGGGGCAACCAAGATGTACCGGGATTTATGTTTGAGCTATTGGTGGTTGTGCATGAGGTGAGAAATCGCTGAGTACGTAGAGAGATGTCTGACATGTAGGATGGTCAAGGCTGAGCATCAGAGGCCCTACGGGAAGTTGTAGCCTTTTGAGGATCCTATGTGGAAATGAGAGCAGATCGCGATGGATTTCATCACCAAGCTGCCGAGGACGGCAAGGGGTTTCGATACTATATGGGTCATCGTAAACTGATTGACCAAGAGTGCTCACTTTCTCGCCATTCGGGAGGGATCCTCAGCCAAGAAGTTAGCTAAGATATACGTCCGCAAGATTGTCGCGCAACATGGAGTTTCGGTCTCTATTGTCTCGGATCGTGATGTTCGCCTCACCTCTCAATTTTGGCAAAAGTTCCACGAGGAACTGGGCACACGATTGCATCTCAGTACATCTTATCATCCGCAGACAGATGACCAGGGTGAGCGGACCATACAGACACTTGAGGACATGCTGAGGGCCTGTGTTATCGATTTTGGTGGGAGCTGGGACTCCTACCTACCTCTCGTGGAATTCTCATACAATAACAGCTTTCATTCCAGTATAAGTGCCCCGCCTTATGAGCTCTTGTATGGAAGGAGATGTCGCACCCAAGTTTGTTGGGGTGAAGTGGGTCATAAGGTTATGGGTCGAACCGAGGTAGTTCTGCAAACTACTGAGAGGATTCAACAGATCAGATAGAGACTTCAGACTGCTCAGAGCTGGCAAAAGAGTTACGGTGACCGATGTCGATCGGAGTTAGAGTTCCAGGTCGGAGACATGATGCTACTGAAGGTCTAACCCTGGAAGGGTGTGATCCGTTTTAGAAAGAGGGGAAAACTGGGTCCCCGGTTTATTGGACCCTTTTGGGTAATAGCCAGAGTTGGCAAGGTAGCCTATAGGTTGGACCTTCCGGAAGAGCTCGGTCAGATACACAACACTTTTCACATTTCCCAGTTGCGGAAGTGTATTTTGGATGAGGATGCAGTGGTATCTCTGGATGATGTTCAGGTTGACGAGCACCTGAACTACGTGGAGTAGCCAATGGCTATTTTGGAAAGGAAAATGAAAATTTTGCGTAGCAAGGAAATATCGTTGGTCAAGGTGCAGTGGCGGCACCGTAAGGGATCCGAGTGGACTTGGGAGCCAGAGTCCGAAATGAGGGAGCACTACCCAGATCATTTCGCAGCATCCGACTTCGGGGACGAAGTCTAGATCAAGTGGGGGAGAGTTGTAACGCCCCGAACCGAGCAAGTATATTTCGAAACCCGCCTTCTTTTGATTATTGTCTTTTATAGCCCTCGGAGAAGTTATGTTGAGTCTCGGGGAGTTTATGGGCCTAAAGTTGAAACTTTAGGCCAAAGGGGGGGGGGGGGGGGGGAGGTACGCTACGCGTACATAAGAGTACGATGAGCGTACTATGTGCGCCCTAGTACGCTGGGCATAAGCCTATGTACGCTGGGCGTACTCGCATCAACTAAAAACCCTAATATTCGGAGTTGGGACTATATAAACACCTTTATGGCTCATTCTTTACCCTCACCTCAACCTCTATACCTCAGAGAACGCCCCAAAACCCTAGTTTGTATGTGAAGAGTGAGTTAGTGTGCATCTTGAGCTTTAGAGAGTGGAGTTATTGCACCAAGAAGATAGAGGAGGAAAGCAAGGCCTTGGATCTGAAGTTTGGTTACACCATTAGAGCTCCAGAAGGTAAAAAGATTGAACCTTTATGCTTATTTACCTTAGATCTAGACTTTTTAGCTTTATGAAGATCTTTTGGTCCCTAGATTTCCCAAGTTGATGCATGTGATGTTATAGACGAAATAAGTTGTCCTTCCAGATATTTGGAGAGGTCGTAAGTGATAAAAACCAGTTCTTTTTAGCTAAACTTGATCCATGCTTGTGATAAGAAGGTCTTAACGGATTAAGACTATGAGTTAAGGACTTTTTGGACGTCCAAAGTGATAGATTCCGAAACTTTATGATGCTATGGCATATTTGGTCGATGGATCTGGAATATGGGTTCAAGAGCTCAAGCCATTAAGCACTTTTTAAGACTTTGGTAAATCCGCGCGTACGCCCCGCGTAATATCTGTACGCCCAACGTACGTGGTCAACAGTCCTGATGATGGTCAACGAATAACTACGCTACGCCTAGCATAACTGGGAGGTACGCCCCACGTACGCTCCCTGTTGGACTTTTGGGTTGTGGGTTTTATGCTTTGGGTCGGTTATGGGTCATTTGGGTTAATCCCTTAATGGGCTATGAATACAATGCTATTTGGGTTAGGTTAGACTTGTAGGGTTCGTATAGGCCCAATAGAGTGATGGGTCCAATTTATTAAATTGGGCCAATAATAGATTTGGACAATTTGGATCTAGTTGAGTAATTCGTATCCTATCTCTCAGTCGCGGGTGTCGGGCATAGTAGTTGAAGACTCTCAGTTCAGTTCTGCACTATTTCTAGGTGAGTTCTCCTCACTATACCAACAAGGTCTACGAAACTAGGTCGGTCCCTTGGGATTTATTCCCAGAGTTAGTATGTGTTCCATATTCATGATTAGTTGGATTGGTATCTTGATGGATAGTATGTTACTATGTTTAGCAGTTAGCATGATCTGTGTTTATTGTATGATTATGTGCTAATTATATGTCGATATATATGGATGGGTTGGGTTGGGTTGAGGCGGTGTCCTGCTTTGTGCGGTTGAGGCCAACATACCCGGAGCGGTCCGGATAGGCTGTAGGCCCATAGGAGACGGTCCAGTCATGCCGAAGGCTCGAGAGCGGTTCAGATAGGTTGTAGGCCCATAGGAGGCGGTCCAGTCATGTTGAAAGCTCATTATGCATGCTGTTAATTATTATTTTTTGTGTATTGGATGCTAGAGGTCGGTATTTTGGGGGTAACTTACTAAGCCTTCGAGCTTACATGTTATCATTTACTGTTTCAGGTACATCAGTTGACCATGGCAAGGCGAAGGCGTGATGTACACATCCCCGTTTTTATGATTATGGATTTTTGGGAACTCTGATATGAAAACATTTTGAAAACAATTAGAACTTGTTGATGTTTGAATAACTTTTAATTGTGTAAAAATGGTCTTTGGAAAGTTTGAATTTTTTTAAAATTTTTTGGGTTGTTACATTCAACATGATCAATAATTTTAGTAATAAGATAATTAGGTACTTGTAACTTTTCTTGAACATATGGCGATGGTAATGTTGATAATGTTGACGACGATGGTGACTATTACAGACTGTGGAGCTAGTGTAGATTATAGTAACTAAGATAGTCAGAAACAGAAGGCTGAAAGATTATCTTGAGTCATGGTTTTTCGATTTATGGAAGATTCTAATAACATATAGTATTTTCAAGTAAACCATAACATGATTGGTTGAAGATGGAAATTGTTTTTGTAATTTTATTTTTCTTTTGTTTGTGTTCATGTGTGATTGTTTCTATTTATGTGTTTGTGAGAGAGATGTTTTATTTTTTATTTTTATTATTTAAGTATTAAATTAAATATGAAAAAATAAAAGAAGAAATTAAAATGGCAAATGAGTCTTTTTGATCAAAACAACATAAATTTCTTATTTTGGATCTTCCATATCAACCGAAAACATTTTGGATTCTATCTAAATTTTTTCAAACTATGTGTACCAATTTTATAACTTTATTTTTTTTTTATTATTATTAACAAAAACAGTTGTATAAATCCACATCGTTAAAATTAATGAAACCATAATTTTAACACTTCAACGGATTGCAATTAGATACAGAGTCTTAATGTAATTCATAATTTTCATAATAATGGGATTTTGTAAACAATAAAATTTATTAATAATTAAAGTGAATATTTTTTATAGTTGGTTGTCAAATAAATATTAATATTGAAACATATAATCAAGAACTACTAAGTTGTTGCTAGAAAGTGTTGCAAGTGATTGAGTATCTTGGAACCCATGCTATTAAGGCAAAATGATATCGGTATGTAACTTGAAATGTATATGAAATTAGAAAATACGTTCAAACCAACAAATATTTTCTTGCAATAAGATTTTGAAGAAAAACATATTAAATCAGGTATCTCTAAAACCAAATCTTAAATAATTAAGAAAATCATAAACCAAAGGAAGGAATGGATGCCAATGGAGGGGGGGGGGGGGGGGGGGGGGGTTATCTCTAAAACCAAATCTTAAATAATTAAGAAAATCATAAACCAAAGGAAGGAACGGATAAGTAAAAAACTTTTGGATGTTCTTTGAAAAACAATTTTGAATATAATACGTCATTTATAACCTGATAGGCTTAATTTCTCATTGGACACCGAAATAAATGTTTTTTTTAATTATAAGTCCTTTAGACACCATTTAAAAAAAAAAAAAAAAATTACAACAGAAATTAACACAGTTACACTCTAATTTAGCAATTTGCTCAATTATATTCAATTGACCAACCGGAATTGAACTCCACATTCGTTATACTATTATACAACAAATACAGGGACTAATATTAAATAAATTATATCTCAGAGGACTTAAGTGTATAGTGCTGAGTTGCTGACGTCAAATATCATGTCAATAGCAACGGATTTTCCCGCTTTCTTATATCTACTTGAAACCCTCCACAGAAACCTGCAAATCACTTCACGCAACACACAAATTTGATTGATCTTCCTCCGCTTCGTCTTCCTCTTCCTCCATCTTTCACAGGAGGCAAGAAAATGGAGCCAATTCAACCAAGAGACAAATATCCGAAGGCCAAAATTGATGAACCAAATCTGCGCTTACCCAAAGCGTTGCTGAAACCTGATGGTGATCCGAATGATGATCTCTGCTATATGAAAATTTTCGGTACGAAGTTGAATATATCTCTACGAAACTGTATGATGTCATCGTCATTTCTTATGTATTTGCATTTCAACTTCCGTGTTCAAGAAGGTGGGGAATGTCGATGTTTGTTCACTTTTCCTTTTTTCTAATTTCTCGTGAGGTTTCTTGGTGAATCTAGTTTAATTATCAAGCGATTTCTTCTGGGTTCGGTTTCTTGACGTTAATATTTGTATTTAAACAGTTCTTCTTGTTTTTGGTATCAGTGATCTGATATATATTTGATCTATGCGTTTGATTTTGTCACCAAGAAAGCTGTACGTAATCAATGTTGTTCATATATAGTCTCCATTAAAACGATTTCCTACTTCCATAGTTCTTGATGATGCTTCTTTCCCTACAGATATTTCTCACAGAATTCTATCTATTTTCCAAATAAGCTTCTGTTGTTAAGTGTTAATAGTCTCCCTCGAAATTATCTCTGATAATTAGATTCTGTCTGGATCTTGTATCAGTAATCAAATTGAAGCGAACCATTTCTTGAAATAAACCTCTATGATTAGATTCATATGATTCCATATATAACTTCCAATACCTACAAATCTTTCTCACAGAATTCTATCCGTTTTCCAAATAACCTTCTGTCGTTAATGTTAACAGTCTCCCTTGAAATAATCTCTGTTTAGATTCTGTCTGGATCTTCTATCAATAATCAAGTTGAAATGGACCGTTTCTTGAAAAAAATCTCTCCGATGATTAGATTCATATGATTCCATATATAACTCCCAAACCCTAACATGCATATTTCAACTATTTTGTCTCAATAATTATCAGAAGATGATACAAGAAGAGCTCAGCACCTAGCTGAGACAATTGCTGCAGGGGGAAAACTTGATAGGAAAGTATATCGGATTCGTAATAAAGAAGTAAGTTCCACACAATTAATAATGGAATTCAAGTTAATTTCATCTTCTTGTTGTTAATTAGTATATACCCTGTTCTCTTTTCTCTATTCACAGCTTGCCAAATTCGGTGGGAAAGATTTTGAAGGGATGACTGAGATTCACAAAGCCTCAAAAGCCACAATTGGGATATTAGCTGATGCTGAATCCAATCTTCATAGTCATTCATATCTTGACTTAGTGGGTACTGTTGAAGAAGTCAATATAGCTGAAGGACTCATCCTGGATAACATACTAAAGGTTTGATCCCTTGTTACTGTTTTCTTCTGTTTCGCAAATATATATACTCACACTTCCCTGGTTTATTAATTCTTTGTAGACATATAGTACCCTCGCTTATCCAGTAATTCTGATGCCACCAACCATTTATGGGGACTACATCATCATTCCTGTCAACAAGGTGATAAATTAATTTAAACTTTTGAAACGAATAAAATATGTGAAAAAAATCCGAATACGAACGAGGGTATTTTAGTCTTTTAACAAGTGAAATTGAATTCTTTCCTACTCCACCCTCATGGTTCGAATCTAAAACAACTCCGACGGAATTGAATTCCATCCATTCGTCAACCAAACATCCCATGTAATGGAATCTGGAATTCCGATTCCATTGGATGCCACAAACCAAACACGTCCTTAATCGGACTAAAAGTCTAAAACCAAGGAAGGGGTGTTTTGGTCTTTTAGTATTCTGAGTCATTGTTGTTTTTATTTTTATATATATAGGTTAGTCGTGTTCTTGGCACCTACAGCATAAATATTTTGAGGATGGAAATGGAGTGTGGTGCATGGATAAAGGTTTGTTATGAATGATTTGATTTTCACAATATATGAATAATTAAAGAATTATTTACAACATAATGGAATGGAGTGCGTGCGTATGTTCAGATTGAAGCAGGTGCCCCTCCAGGTGGTTCGGAGCAGGAGAAATTAATCAACGTATTTGGTCCACGTGAGAATGTCATGAAAGCCATCAAATTAATTCGAGCAATAACCTATGAGGTGATCAATCCATCGTTCTTAATTTATAATTAATTAATATAATATAATTATATTATAAATTAAGGTTTTAATATAATTATATATGCATGCAGCCTACGGAAGCTTCTGCAGCACAAGAAGAATTGTGGCGGGAGTTTAACCAGCCTTGTTGGCGTGAGTATTTTGAACGTAAGGAATTAGCAGACGAAGCCCAGCCCCAGGTTGAGGAATACTCCGGTGCACCGGAGAGGCAGGCTGAGGAAGGTGGTTCCGGTCATATAACAGAAAGAGCTAACCAATATTCATCTGAAAAAAAGGAAAAGCGGCAAACCAGTACTTTTCTACGAATGAAACCAGAGGGATCTAAATCGAAAGAAACAGTAGAAGGAGAGTTTAAAGTACCAAAATGGAGTCAAACTTTTGGACATATCAAACCTGTTCATCATGAATCGAAAATATTAGGGAAGGTAGAAGGTGGTTCCGGTGTAACAGAAAAAGAAGCTGAATCTGAAAGTGAAAAAGGTGATGAATTTAATATTTTTGTAGAAATAATCATAATCTTTTTATCATTTTATGTTTTGTGAAATAAATTTCAAATATTATTTGTATATTTAAAATAAAGAATTTTAAAAGAATTCATCAAATAAGGGAACAATTATAAATGTGCATCCGTAATCAGTCTGGGAAAAGGTTCGAGTAAAAAATTAGTTTTGGATAGGATTGCATCTTTCACTAAACAGAGTCACATTATTATGTAACCGGTTTAACCCATTATTTATTTAATATTGTATAATATAATAAGTTTAAGAGTGCGTAATCAGAAAAAAGAGATCAAATATGTGAATTAAAAGATCTTCTATATTGAAAAATAAGTTCACTGATAAATACTCAATTAAAACAGTTTCTAGAAATATAACATATACATAATTAAGTATTTTTGAAAAAAAAAAAAATTAGAAAGTTATAAAAACTGAAACAAAGAAAGAATCCTTTTAGGGAAGAGGAGCAGGAGTTTGTTCTTGATACAACTAATAGTTTATTTTTGTCCCGTTTTATTTATAACTAAATGCATTGCTCCGTTGAAACTTGGAAATACCTTGATAATTTTTTTTGGAACGGTGGAGAGATTTATAATTATCAAGGCTATAAATGTATTATGAGTTACATATGCAAAATTGTTCCTTTTTTGAGTTTGTTACTTATTTTTTTAGAAACCTCATCAAAATAAGTAACAAACTCAAAAAAAGGTTCCTTGAAAGATTGAAGAGATTTCTAAAAAAATAACATACTTTAAACTTCTTTAAAGAAACAATTTTTCATAATACATTTATAGCCTGAAAATTTTAGTTTCTTGTTATGGTATTCTAAAATTATATATATGGCTTTTAAAATTTTAGTAATTTGGCCAATCGTATTCTCAATTAGAGAAAAGGAACCTGATCTCCACATCGTTATATTACAAGTGCAGGGACTGAACGTAAGTAAATTATATATCAGAGGACTTAAGTGTATAAATTGATAAAGCCAAATGAAGCCCTTCAGAAACACAGTAAATCATTTCACCCAAACCAAGATTCTTAACGTAAATTATTTTTTGTTGTCAGAGAAAATATTAATCCTTGAAAGAGTCTATGAAAATTAAACATACAATTTATTATTATTTTTTTCTTTTGAAAATGAAAATTTAAAATTTGCCAAAATGGAAAAAAATATCAAATTACTTTTCTTGGTAAGAGGAAGAGGTTGTATTGATACAATCGATAATTTCTTTTTGTCACGTTTTTTTTTTAATTAAATGCATTTTAAATTGAAACTTGGATATATGTCTGACCTAAGACCCTTTGTGCAGGAGAAGCCAAGCTTAAGGAATATTCCGGTGAACTGGAAAAAGGGAAGCAGCAGGCTGAGGCAGGTAGTATCGGTGAGCCGACAAGAGAAAAGAAAGAGCATGATGTTAAAGAAACAGAGGTTGAATCATTAAAAAAGAAGTCAAAAAAACTTATTATACGACTTAAGAAATCTGGTGGTGGCGAGGGATCTAAACAAACAGAAGAAGGGAAGGATAAGGAATCCGGTGAATCGGAAAAAGGGAAACAGGCTGAGAAAGGTGGGCCCATTGTAATAGAAAAAGAAAAGCAGCCGGAGCATGTGCATGAAGAAGCTCATGATTTTGCAAAAACTGAAGATGACAAAGAAGGTGATTATAGATCAAAAGAGAAAAGACAGGTTGAGAATGTTGAGCATGCAAAATCCGAAAAGGAAAAAGGTTAGCTAGGAATTTTAATTTTTATTAATTAGATGATATATTTATGTTATTTTTTTTTTAAATTACTTTGTAATTTATTTCAAATAAATATTTAAAGTTTAAAATTATCAAATGTAAGGCAACATAATCAATTTAAAAATAAAAGTTTGGGACAAAACCAAAACAAAATTATTACCACATTTACTAAGGTCCAATAACCAAGTATAATCTACCCTAATATAAATTATCTTTGGGTAATATATATATGTAACGGGATTAGCTACTCATCATTAATTTTACAATATCGGATATTCTATATAATAATAAAAAATATGACCGAATAATATTCATGGTTTTTAGGAAAAGTATTACTTCCTGTTTTTAGAAGTAAAATATATAAAAGGGAAAAGAGGTTTGTTTGTCATTGATACAATCGATAGATTTCTTTTTGACACCTTTTTTTTTTGATAAAATGCATTTCCTTTGAAACTTGAATAATAACTAATATATAAATAATTCTGAAATAGCTAAGAAACTCATATATATGTATTTATTATTATTATTATAGGTCCTCGATCGTTACAACTTACAACATAAAAGGACACAAATTGCCCAATCATATTGCAACTATTACACATTGTTATATATGACATATATATTCAGGGACTAATTATCGTGTGTGTGTCTATATATATATATATATATATATATATATATATATATATATATATATATATATATATATATATATATATATATATATATATATATATGAATGGATTAAGTGTACGTATAAAGTATGAATTAAAGTCAAATGTGAAGTCAATTGTAACAGATTTTCCCGCTTTTGTTGTTTCTACTTGAAACCCTACTTACTAATTACTATACGTAGTAGAGAGACCTGTAAATTAAAAGAAACACAATATTGATTTTTTTTCATGTTTTGAATTAATTAAGGAGGCAAATTGAAAATGGAGCAAAAGGCAAAGGCAGCAGCAAGAGACAAATATCCCAAGGCCAAAATTGAAGAACCAAATCTGCGGTTACCCAAAGCGTTGCTGAAGCCTGATAGTGATTCCACAGCCGATGATCTCACCTACATGAAAATTTTCGGTAATTAAGCAGTTGAATATAATTAATCTCTCCATTTCCTTTGGATTTTTGTCATTAGTTTGTTTTCTCGATTATCTATATAAATTTCAAATTTAATTCCCTTGGTGCAAATCTTTTCTCTCTTTTCCCCCAAAATATATTTTTTTGTAATGATGTGTACGCTTCTTTAAAATAATCTCTAGCTAGATTTATTTCATTTATTTGTTGGATCAAAGATCAAATGTAATCAATGCTTTTTTTATTTTATTTTGTGTGTCAATTATCAGAAGATGATGCACGCAGAGCTCAGCATCTTGCTGAGGCAATTGCTGGAGGGGCGAAACTTGATAGGAAAGTGTATCGGATTCGTAATAAAGAAGTAAGTAAATATGTGACACCACACCACACCACACAATTAATAATTTAATAATTAATAATATATATATATGGAACTCAATAAGTTTTAATTGTTCTCTTGCTGATAAAAATAAATAATTCCTGCTTTTAATTTTTGTATATATGTTAATTCTCAGCTAGTCAAATTCATTGGGAAAGATTTTGAAGGGATGAGTGAAGTTCATAAAGCCTCAAAAGCCACAATTGGGATATTAGCTGATTCTGAATCCAATCTTCATAGTCATTCATATATTGATTTGGTGGGTACTGTTGAAGAAGTCAATATAGCTGAAGGACTCATCCTAGATAACATACTAAAGGTGAGATCAGAAGTAATTGAATTATTAATTTCCATAATGAAAATGAGCTAGAATCCAATGGCATTATTATTAATTCATGCATGCATGCATGTCTTCTGCTTCAATTCTGTACAGAGGAGATGTTTGTTGGGTTGGTGTGTGGGACAAAAGTTTGCGATATTTAATTTGTCCCATGCAGATTCCGACCGATATGTAAATTAATTTTGACTATTAATCAAATTTATATACGCATGGTTATCAGCTCTTGCCAAGGAGATTAATATATTAGTCTCATATGGGATATATACCACTTGACTTAAGTTTTTTGTAATTTGAGGTTTATATATAGTTGCATACTTACACTTGCCCACATGTTAATTAATTTGTATGTGGTTCATTCTTTGTAGACATATAGTACCTTGGCTTATCCAGTAATTCTGATGCCGCCAACCATTTATGGGGACCACATCATCATTCCTGTCAACAAGGTGATAAATTAATTGTAAAATGCATGTTTGTTTTTGAAGAATGGAATAAAGTTATCATTAGTTATTACTAGTCACTTTGACAGGAAATTGAAGGAATGAAGCTTAACGATGGTAGTAAACAAATTTTAAAATCTTTTATTTGGTGTTTTGTTTTTTAAAAGAAAAGAATTGAATTCATTGGAAGGTTTCCAAGAAAATGAATTGGAGTCTTGAATTTCAATTCACATGCATTCTTAATCAGCTGGCCAAAAGCCTGAATTGGAGGGTATTTAATTTGGTCTAAAGCTTTGTGTGTCTATATATGTATATAGGTTATTAGTGTCCTTGGGAGCTTCGGCACTAATATCTTGAGGATGGAAATGGAGTCTGGTGCATGGATAAAGGTAGGTTTGTTACACGCATCTTGACATATATATATATATATATATATATATATATATATATATATATATATATATATATATATATATATATATAAATTAATTATGAATTAATTAATGTTCAGATTGAAGCTGGTGGTTCAGAACGGGAGAGATTAATCAATGTATTTGGTCCACGTGAGAATGTCATGAAAGCCATCAAATTAATTCGGGCAGTAACCTACGAGGTGACTTGTTAATTTATAGTTTGATTATTATATAATAAACTAATGAAAAGGTTTAATGATGCAGCCCACGGAAGGTTCTGCAGCACAAGCGGAATTGTGGCGAGAGTTTAATGAGCCTTGTTGGCGTGAGTTTTTTGAACGTAATGAATTAGCAGCAGCAGCAGAAGAAGAAGCCATGCTCAAGGAAAAAGAAAAACCAAAGCAACAGGTTGCTGGGGAATCAGATCATGATCGGGAATCAGAAAAGACCAAGTCAAAAAAACCTCTATCAGAAAGAAAGAAGGCGCCTTTTCTAAGAAGGAAATCTCTATCAGAGGGTTCTAAAAGAGCACAACCTCCTAGTCTGACTGAAACTTTTGGACGCTTGAAAATTGGCAGTAGTGATCAATCGGAAAAAGGGAAGGAAGGTGGTTCAAATGTAAAAAATGAAAAAGAGCATCATGCTAAAGAAGAAGCTGAAGCTGAAGCTGAAGGTGATGAACCAAAAGAGAAAAGTGACAAGGATGTTTCTGCAAAGAATAAAGATGAATTTGGTCAAGGGTCAGCAGAGTGAACATTCTCCCACGTATACAAATGGTATTAGATATTGTGCAAAAAACCATACTATAACAAACATGAATGATTCGAATATAGATGGTACAAAATGGTTATGAAATTTTGTTGTGTCAAATTTACAAATAACAATTTAGTAGCACCCTAGCATAGTTGGTTCCAAGATGGTATATTTGTTAAATTGGTGATATAACAAAATAAATTTCCAAACATGAAAAGAGTTGAATCAATGATATGCTAAGAATTCCAACACACTCAAGTCCATGGAAATGGAATGTTTTGACCAAAGAGTGATTTCAGAAGAAAGCTTGAATATATAACACAAGCTGATGACCTTTTACAAGCTAAAATCCAAAATTTGAAAACATTAGCCAGTGTTTTGGTACTTTTATGTATAAAAAACTTGTAATGAGTCTTATTTATTACAACCATGTCTTTTTCTTATTAAGGCATTGTACCTTGCATCATACATGATTATAAAACATGTCAGTTCCAGAATTAGAAATATTCACAAAAGATCACCATTTCGACATGTTTACATAAGTTAAACATGTTTGCAAAATAAAATATGGTAATCACATTCATCTATTAAAAAAAAAAACCATCATAATAAGTTTCATATAATTACCTCAATATTTATGAAATGCGTTCTTCAAGTACCCTTTCACTTGTTCATTTTGGTTGTGATTCAAAAATATAACTTTGAAAAAGCTATTTGTAACCCCTATATGAAATTCCTAAATTGCACTTAGGATCATGAAAGGTTGGACTCTGGCTTTAGTGGATTCCCTATTGAATTCCCCTTTTTAATGCTGCATGTTGAGCCCATCATTGTAATACCTTTGCATAAGTTTGATCCTAAAATTAGCTGCTGCATGCATCTGGTAGCTATGAACAAACTTAGTGTGGCCTCCATACAACACAGAACAGAACACATGCCATGTATTAATTTGCTAGCCAATGATTTATGAATCCTCACCATATAGTATTAATTTGTTCCAAGCTCCGAGAAACTTCCTCACTTGAAGGCCTATCTTTACGATCCATAGCTACACATCTTAATGCTAATGCTGCACATGCAAAAGCAGCTTCTAAGGGGTAATTTTGTCCAAGACGCACATCCATTATCTTCTTTAGCTTCATTCTATCTGTTAGGAATGGGGTTGCCCATTTTACCAAACTAAAATCATGAATGTGCCGCTTCATTTCCCATGCTTGTTGGCCTGTTAGGGTTTCCAACAACACCACTCCAAAACTATACACATCACTCTTCACACTCAAATGACCTGTTGTAACATTAAAGTCTACTTTATTACTCTTTATACTATAGTAGTAATTACTAATTAGTACCCATAAATATACTAATACATATTACATACCATTGCTTAGATACGCTGGATCTAAGTAACCTAATGTGCCCATAATAATGCGTGTAGAAGCATCTATTTTTCGGATTTCAGGGCCAAATCTTGCCAACCCAAAATCCCCGATTTTGGCATTAAAATCCTGGAAAAATAACAATTAAAACAAAACAAAACCTAAAATCTTAAGTAGCTTAAGAGTGAGTACCTGATCCAACAAAATGTTAGAGGTTTTAACATCACGGTGTATGACTTGATCTTTTGAGGAATGCAAATAAGCAAGTCCACGGGCTACTCCTATCATTATCATAACTCGTGTTCTCCATGAAAGTGGTGTGGAAACATCTATAAATTCAACTTTTGAGTAAAAATATATAGCTTTTTTTTTTCATTTTGAGATATTATTATTATTATTATACCTCCGAATAAGAAGTGGCCAAGATTTCGGTTCTGCATGTACTCGTAAACAAGCAAGCATTTGTGTTCCTTATCATCGCAGTATCCCAAAAGATTAATAATATTTGGATGATCCAACCTTCCTAAAATGGCCACCACGCTCTGATGTCACAAAAAAAAAAAAAAAAAAATTAAGTTACATTCACCAAAAGAATTCATAAAAACAAAAATTCATTAGTATCGTTGCATTCACACTTATGTATATTTATTACCTGCCATTCTGGAAGACCTTGACTGTACCTTTTAACAGCAACAGGAATTCCAACACCTTCTGTTGTTGATGGGGCCAATGTGTTCTTGTCAACCCAACCTAAGAACACCTCCCCAAAACCTCCCATACCCAACAGCAAATCTTGACTAAAATTTCTTGTAGCCTTTCCTAAATCACCAAACTTGAATACTTTCAAACTTGGAATAGCAATTCTGAAATCTTTGTTGAAAGCCCCTATAGTATCACCGAGGTTTCTATTGTTGTCCTTGCTATTACTTAATACCTTTGAATCATCATTGGCTGAAATAATTGAATACAAATAGATCATTATATATAGTCGCTATTAAAAGAATCTAAAATAATACTTGTAAGTAGTATTACTAGTATATATCTTAAAATACCATTGGAGGGGAAAGGAAACAAAAACATATGTAGCATTCTTCCAAATATTGTTCTACTAGCAACCTTCAATGAGCTATTGGTTTTCTCTTGTAAGGTCAATACAAAATCTAGACTTACCACAACCTCAGCCATGGTAGGACGCTGCTTTGGATTGCTATGCAAACATCTCTCTGCAATTCGAACAAACCCCTTCAAACATTTTGGGGATATTTCACCCCTTATGTCATTATCAATTACACGCTTCAAATTGCCTTCTTTGATAGATTCCTGAACCCATCTTGCTAAATTGTGTTGCTCTTCATCAAGACTTTCATCCACTGCACGCTTCCTAGACAACACTTCCAACAATACCACGCCAAATGCGTACACGTCAGATTTCCTTGTGAGCCTTCCATTGAAGAAATAATCAGGATCGAGATACCCAAACGTGCCTTTCACAAGTGTGTTCACATAAGTCGATCGTTGATTCGTTGGACCAATTTTGGACAACCCAAAGTCTGAAATTTTAGCTGCCCAGTTTTCATTCAACAAGATATTTGACGTCTTGACATCACGATGTATAACACCAAAGTCAACCCCCATACCAGTGTGGAGGTAGTCTAACCCACGGGCAGCTCCTATGCAGATCTTGAGTCGTTGAAGCCATGAAAGATGGGTACCAAGTTTATGGAGGTGGTCTTCGAGTGTTCCATTGGGCATATATTCATAGATCAGCAGCATCTCTTTTTCATGATTACAGTAACCAAACAAAGATACAAGGTGACAGTGACGCAAGGTTGAAAGCATCTCAACTTCTGCCCAGAACTCTGTTGAACCTTGAGCGGACATGGAATCCAATCGTTTAACGGCGGCAACGGCAACGATTGTTCCGTTGATAACGTTTCCTTTGTAAACTTTTCCAAACCCCCCGTGCCCGATTACTAAAGATTCGTTGAAGTTGTCAGTTGCTAAGAGAATCTCAGGAAAATTGAAAAGACGGCATGGTTGTGACGAGTCTATGGAGGAGGAGGTGGAGGGTTGAGATTCCTTGCCATCGCCGGTAGCAGTGGACATAATTATCAATCAATAAGAAGTTGAAGGGGGTGTTTGTTTTATGGTTAAATAAACACCCTAAATACTTAAAAAAAAAAAAAAAAAAAAAAAAAAAAAAAAAAAAAAAAACCTTTAATGATTAAAAAAATTAGACAAAATTGCAAAAATGATTTTAGGGTTTTAATCCAAACCACGATTTTTTTGGATTGGTGGTTCTTTTTAGCTAGTTTCGTTGCGTTTTTGGTCCCCAAAAAAACTAAAAAGACTAAAATGCCCTTCTCATACATTTTTTTTTAATGATTTTTACTATTTAATTTAAAATTTTATTAATACAAATTATGGGGCCCACCTCTCTCTCTCTCTCTCACAGATTTATTTCTTCCTTTTCTTCTTCATTTTTATGGTAAAAATACCATCGGAGGAAGATGCATTTTCGGTGACCATCAAGAACAACAACTCCACCGGCAAGCCAAGGGGCTGCCATCTCCACCACCAACACCTCCATCGCCACCAACTGTCGCCTCCGTTAATGCTTCCTTCTTCTCGGATCAACAGAGGATCGAAGACCTCCATCCTTTTTTATGTTTTTCTGCCGATCACAACAGAAAGGGAATGAAGGCTCTGGGGAAAGCCTTATGTCGGCACCCCTCCTCGTGACCGTGTAACCACCACAACTTGACACCTGCTTATCAATTTCACAAAGAAAGAAGAAAGCGACATCGAATCTCCATCTCTGTCCCATCTTCTCGACAAAATCAAATAAGAAATAGAGGATCATTGAGAGCTGCGATCGAAAACACATACACACAGACACTTATTAATCGATCCAACTAAGATAAAGAAAGGATATCCATGGTTTGATTTCACATGTAAAATCAATTTCAGATTCAAAATTGATTTCATATTGCATTAGGGCTTACCGAGATTGGATCTTAAGAGATCGATGTGGTTAAATCTTGACATATTCGAAATCATTTTTTTCCCCTGATATGTCTTCAATTTCTCAATCAATTTCATTTGTTGTTCTTGAAGAGCAAACCCAGAACATTGAATGTTCTGGGGAAATATCAATTTCTCGACAATGGAATGATTATCGAGGTTCATCGGGTAAGGGAGGGGAAATATCATGAACACGAATTCAAGAACTGGGTAAGAGTTGGGGAAAATGGGGGAAAGAGGTGGGGTCACAAGAGAGAGAGAGAGAGAGAGAGAGAGACCCATTTTTATATTTAATAATAATAATAATATTAAAAAGTGAAAGAAAAATGAAAAATAAATTCATTAAAAGTATAATAGTCTTTTTAGTTTGGATAGGGACCAAAACTACAAGCAAAGTAGCTCAAAAGGATCACCAACCCAAAAAAGTCGAGGTTTGGACTAAAACCCCAAAAAAATCATACTACAAGGACTATTTTTGCAATTTTATCAAAAATTTATTTTTTTATTAGGACTAGTCAAATGTATTTATTAGCTAATAAATAAATAGTATTTTTTTTTTTTAACTTTTAATTAAAAAAACGTAATCTTCTAAAACATGATTAAGAAAAAAATATATAATCTTTTAGCCCATTATACAATCCAAGCCCATCTCTTTTTTTAACTCAAAACGCTAAAGCCTTGTCATAACATTAATCTCAATTCTTGAGTTTTCTATTCTCTCCCTATGTTGTTGTGACCACTAATGACCACCGTTCAGGGGCGGATTTAGGGGTGGTTCAGGGTAGCACCGGCAACCCCTAACTTTTTCGATCGCAGTGGAAAAAATTTCAAAATTTTTATTTTTTCTACTATTGCGCAACCTGTCTTTCACGTGCAACCCCTACTGTGAAATCTTGCGTTCGCCCCTGCCACTGTCACTACCAAACTAGACCTTCACCGCCACCGGATAACTACCTTCACTCATCGTTGGCCTAACCAAACCAACTCATTTGATCTGTATTTCTTTCTTTCTCTCGATCTGGTAGGCAATAAGTAGCCGACGATCGGAGTAGCAGCGTCATCAGAGAACTGTTGCCACTGAACCACTGTTGCTCGGTCTCTATCTCCATCTGTTTCTTCCTATAGATATTTCTTCCTTACAGTCACGAACTCTCTCTTTTCTCTTTCTGTTTTTTCTACACCGTGGACCAACGTTAATGTAGGTGGTTGCTGGTAGGCTGCCGATGTTTTCTAAGCGGTGGTCGGTCGTTGTTGTAGGCGGCAAAGGCAGTGGTTGGTCGTTGATTGGGATGTTACGTTGCTAGAATAATTTTGTATTGTTGGATTCATATTAACTTAATTTTTTGTTATAATACAACATAAATGATTAATAGTTAGATGAGAATTTTAAATAAATAATTAATTGTATTTAAAATTCACAAATTACAATGCTCACATAAATGTTTCTGACTTTTTACACATTTTCCCAGATTTAGGGTGTGTTTTTAGTAATAAATGCTTGACTTAAAAAATAGAGTGTTTATGCGTTGTGTATTTAGTAGCTATATTTGGAAAAGATAAAAGCCAAAAGATGTTTGGTAAAAACATAAAGATCTTGTAAAAGTTACTTTTTGATATAAGGAAAATGAAAATTTTGAAAAAGTCAGGTAAACCTAACTTTTTGCAACTTTTCCTAAAAAGACTTTTGCTCTCTCAAAAACTAAACCAAACACCCCCGAAGTAGAAAAAGAAGTAGAAGTAGAGGTAGAGTTCGCAATCGTTGTTAACCATGAATGATATTTAGGGCATTCTAAATACACCGTATTAAAACCATTGTCAACTCAAAACCACAAAAATAAAAGTCAAAGTAAAAAAATATTAATAATGCAATAATCGTGAAGGGTGAAACAGGAACGCCAAATTTATGATTGTTTCGACAACTTTTAAAATCATTCACTTTGTTATATATATATATATTGATGGAACCTTGTCCCGGATGAGACCTTGCTTATGACTCTGGGGTGAGACCTTCTTGATTGCTTGATTATAACTGCAAGATCACAAAGAACAAGAGCCGTCAGCCGCTTCCCGAGAGGGGTTCCCGGGAGAACGCTCTGACGGTGAAGTTAGGATGACTTTAGGGTTTGCGTTTGTTCTCTCCAGATCGGTTAGAGAGCTTACCTCGTTGGTCTTGTGTGCACATCCTCTTATACCTAGCGCTCCTGCCTGGTCCGTACCAGACAGGATCATTTTTGGAGGAGACAAGGTCAGAGGCACTGATGGGAGGGTCGTGCGCCCTCAACCGCTAGAGCGCTCTCATTGGCTCCGACGGTAATGCTCTGATCCTGCCCTTTGTCTCCTGACCGTATCTTTTGTCTTGGAGCAAGGAGCGTTACTTGGCGGGCGCGAGCCTTCCGCCTGTCTGTTTCGCTCTCGGGGGAGCCAGCGGGCGCTGAGCCTGGCTGGTGTGCCCGACTCTAGGGCTTGGACGTGGTTCTGCTGTGCTGCCCTAGGCACACCATCAAGTCCCCCAGTCCAGTAGTTGTAGCTTTGCAGCGCTAGTTACGACGTTCTAGACTTAACTGATTGATGCGTGTTCGTCGTTACTCCGCTCTTAATGGCGACGTGACTGTGCGTGACTGGTTACGTCAGCGTGTCAGACATTTAAATGTCCCGCCTCTTCCTCTTCCTTTAAAGGGGATTTACGGAGAACGATTCTCGCCATTTCTTCCCTCTTTTCCCTGCGTATTCATCTTTTCTCTCATTTCATGGCTAATCTTCCTGGAATTGTCCCTTCTGCTGTCGAGTATCAACAGTTGGAGGCCACTTATGGCTTGTCTCCTTTAGAAGGTTTGGAATTTCCCTCTGCTGGCTCTAGCATATCTTCTCCCCCCCTGGAAAAATTGGGGTTTTCCTAAAAACCCTAGATGCTAGCATACCATTTCCTTTGACAGATTTCCAAGAGGAGGTTCTTCAGAAGGATGGTTGTAGTCTTCAGATGTTGACCCCTAATGCTGTCAACAAAGTGGTTGCCTTCGAGATGATCTGTAGAGCCAATGGGTATGTTCCTGACTACTTCATCTTCAAGTTCTTCTTCCGGTTCTGCCTTACCGGAGATAAGTTTACTTTTTCGGCCCGGCGAGGGGGACATGCCCTAGTTCCTGATGGGCGCACCCCCAAGAATTGGCAAGACAAGTGGTTGTGGGTGAATCAGGAACTGGTTGGGAGTGGTCGTTACCGTGCCAATGCTTTCGCCGATACTATCCCTAAGCTCTTCCCTCACAATCAAGAAGTCGCCGATTACCTGAAAAGTGTGCAGGTAACCGCTGAAGATTACTCCGAAGCGCTTCTGTACGGGGTAGGGATGAGCCCCTCCTGGAGGCGGCGTGGCAAGATGGCGGTGTTCTACTCCGTCATTGATGGTGAGTGTCGTATTCGTTCTGTTCCTCTCTTTACTTTACTTTTTTGGTGTTTCTCTTAACCGCCTCCATGTGACTTACATTTCATTCTACTTTTCTTTAGGTGTTGAGTCTTCCTTATCCATGGATGAGGTGTTGCGTAAACACTGTCGAGGCAAACTAGAGTTTCGTGAGGTGGATCTGTTCGAGCGTCTTCCCCCTCCTCGTCGGGCAGATCACCTCAACACCCCTACTCCTCCTGTCCCTCCAGCAGGCTCGTCTACATCTGAGGTAGATCCGCTGCTTGCCCGCCCAATTTCCTCTGTTATGCCAACAGGCGGTGCTCCTTCTGTTGGGTTTTGAGCAATCTAACACTCCTAAGTGTACATGCAACCCTAAATACCTTGGATCTATGTTTTCTCTATTATACATGCAAATATCAACTTTCCAAGGTATTGTACTATTCTAGCATACAAAACTTTGAATAACACAAGTTAGGATAACATGCCTTTTGTTGGTGCTTGTCTTCATGAAGCTTGAGTGCCTAGTGCCCCAAGTGTGACACCTCAAATGGTTCACACAACACCATAAGCACTTGGAATAACTTAGAGAGAAACTTGAACACTCCATGAAATCGTTTAGCCCTCACACACACACACATAGTGTCGATTTCTTGAGCCATGGGTTTCTTTTATATGGTGGCTATTAGGGTTACACCATGTAACTCATGA